CAAACTAAATGAATATAATTAACCGTCCATATTTGCACATGCCTTGGCCATAAAAATAGAGTGTATATATACACACACATAGATGCATATAATATAGTGGTGGAACCAAAGGGTGGCAGAGAGAGACACTCATATAAACTCTTTACTATCATATAATATGATAAAATTTTTGTTCATCCTAAACTTAAATACTTAATTATCATTGATTTTAAATTATATTTTTATTCTAATAAACATGTTCATAATTGTCTTAAGAAATTTAAGGTAATGAATGATTTAAATCTAAATACTTGTCACCTCCTGATTTTTTATTTTGCTATATATATATGCAAGTTATATAAATGAAGAAATATGTAAAGAAAGGATGCATGCATTTAGATTAAACTAAATGTAGGAAGGCATGATAAAAGGACAAATGAGTAGGTTGGTCATGCAATTTGGTGCAAATTTTAATTAATAAAGCACAAATGAGTATTTAGGGATTTCCAAAGTTGAAGCCCATCTACACTTTACATGGTTCATTGCATTGAGCATTTATAGGTTTAAAGGACAGTGCATTTTGATACTAGCATCCTTGTCTCCCCCGAAGTATTGGGTTCATGATAAGGACATGGAAGAAGTTAACACTCCAATTCATTGATTGGCTTTTCATTGTTGATAAGAATGGAATAGGAGAACATAAGAAAATATAGATGATAATAATGGTTTATTTAATTTGAGTATTTATTCTCTTGCACTTATAGTTAAGTGAATTTTGTTATATAATTTAAGTTATGATTAGAATAAGTTTTTTTAATCAATTTAGGAGTCATATGGGATTATTTTATTTTTTTAATATTTGTATGCCTTTATTTAAAATAAAGTATAATTGATGTATTAAAATAAATAGTTTTAATGTTATTTTAAACTATTTTATTTTATTTTGGCAATATCTAGTGAAAATAGGCATGGCTAACAGAAGAAAGTGTGTGAAGTCTAATGAATGGTAATAGCAATTTTTTTTTAAAGTATTCAAGCTAAAAGTTATTTTTGGTATTTTAAAATTAAATAAATTTATTTTAAAAATTAAAAGAAAATTTTTAAAAATTAAAAAAAAAACAAAAGTGATCCCTAATATGGCCTTAACTAGTGTAAGTTAAAGATTACGAAGAATATTATTTTAATATGTTTTAATTATGAGAGACATACCATATAGTGGTAATTAAAGAAGCCTTGAGGTTTCAAATTCATTATTAGATGGTGATTGTTACACAATGATTAAATTTTGCTGTTAAAAATTTATCAATTGAGGGTCATTAATTTGATTATTTTTCTAATAGAAGAAGAGACTAGAAAATCATGAGGACGATAATCAAATAAATGATGTTTTGATGATAAACATCAATCATTAATAAGAATTAAACAACAATAAATTGGGAATGTAAGAAAATACGCTATAATGAGTAATTGATTTGATCATTGTTCTCATAGAAATGAAGAAATATAAAGCTCCAAAAATTAACAAATTACAAAAATCTAATGAACTCTTAAAGATGGCTCTATTAAGTTAACGAGTCATTATCTTTTATAGTGGTTTGAGTACATATGGGTTTTCAAGATGTTTATGGATTCAAGATATTCAAGCTAAACATTGTGTTAGTTTTTTCATCCCAATTTAAGTGGCTTGTTATTTTTTTTAATGTTAAAGAACAGTATGTTTGTAACTGCCTTCTTACAACTTTCCTGTTCTTATTGTCTTGAGGGATGTTGGTGTATATAAATAAACAAATGAAGGACAATGTAGGGTTTATTCTTTTGTTCCATTTTTCATGTAGTTCTATTACATTGTGAGGTTGGATTTCACATCAATTCCCAATAAAGTTATTAGAAACAAGTCTTTAAAGTTGTATTATAAATAGTTCTTAGATATTTTAGCTCATTTGTTCTTTAAAATTTCATTCTTTTTATTCTTAAATTCATTTTCAATTGGTATCAAAGCTACTAAAAAAAAAAAGGAGTCATTGTAGAAACTTAAGACTGATAAATTTACATGCGAGAATGACTTTAGTTTGTGGCACATCAAGATGAAAGTGCTTCTTATTCATCAAGAACTTTCAATGTTATTACTGATGGAGGTATGGTTTCAATCACTGACAGAGAAAAGCTAAGAAAAATATAGCTAAAGACTATATAATTCTATTATAATTAAACCACTACTGTAAAACTACGATTATTAGCTATGTAATGCTATCTTTTCTAATTCAAAAAAAAAAAATTATATACTTACAATCATATAGTGGATAATTTTAATTGGGCCAAAACCCGTGGTAGTTTGTTTCAAATAAAAAATTTGTTGCTATAAGCTTTCAATACTTTTTTCTTAAATTTTATTTAAAGAACATATATGATAAAAAAAGGTTTGCTTGTTTCATGGGCCGAACTGACTAGTAAATTTTCGGTCATGAGTTCTTCTTTAATGGACTTGTTATTATAAAAAATTATAGGAAGAGGCATTTCTTCATTTCTCTCAACAAAGTTCTTTTATTTTTTAAAAAAAAAGGTTTTAATGATGGAGCAAATTAAACATAAAAAATAGTCTGGAAAACGATATTTAATAATTAAAATAAAATATTTTTTTACAAGTTACAAAAATATTATAATCATTATCATAATAACCATACACAATTATACATCATTTGAATACAATATGTGGTGTAAAATATACTTTTAAAACATATTTTTGAATTCTTTTAGGATGTAGGGTCCTCTATTATTCATCAATTTATACAATTTGGTAGAGACCTGTATAAGGAGGATGATATAAGATAATGGACGCGTTCTCCATGTCTCAATTCTCTGTTTCTCCAATGATTCTCCTCCGATGAAACAAAGGTAATGGTCTTATCTCTAACTAAAAACGAAAGAGAGACCCCAAGTCGATTGATCGATGGCCCCACAAAGGTCACCCTCTCTGAATACATAAAGAGAAAAGAGTGTCAAATTATGAATTGTACTGTATGAAATGCGTTCATTGTCCATTATGACGCGGATGTCAAAGGGCTTATAAATGATGACAAAGCAAACTCGGTGGTTGGGTATGAGAAATCCACTAGTTGTGGCGAACTCAGTAGTCTGAGAAGCTTCATTACTCTTGGGAAGGTGATATTTGAGTCCTCTATGATTGGCAGGGAAGTTGAATAAGTGAATTTGCCAAATTAATATGCCAAGTTAGTCCAGCATGACAGTTTGACATGTGGTATTAATGGATATAGTGAGGTATTGAATAAGCCTAATGGCAGACTCAGAATCATGTAGTCCTTCAAATGTTCATTAATAATCAGTCCAAGAAAACCCATTTATTTCACTAGTCTTAAGACGAAACCTATAATTCGAAGATTTTTACATAGTTTCACAGACTCCGAATACATTTTGTTGATTTCAGATTAATTTTAGCGTTGAAGTTTTCAAATTTGGTCTCTGTATCATTTCTATCTGAAATCATTAAAATGAGCTTTAAATTATCAAAACTTTATAAGAGGCTATTTGTTTTTATTTAGAATCAAGTGCTCTACTGCATCCAAATTAGCCAGCTTTTGATAAACTCTATAATATTTTGTTCATGAAGAAACATATTATAAATTTCTTTTATAGTTGTAAATAAAACCCCAAGGCTTTCAAATTTTTTTGAATAAATCTTTTTATATGACTGATAATTTAAGAGCCTAGAACGACTACTCCAACGATACATAATTAAGGGTGCGTTTGGGACAGCTTGTGTGTTTCAGGATAAGCAGTTTATCTTGAAACGCAACCCGCGGGTCAATTGCAGGGTCCGACCCACAGCCCGCGTTTAGTGTAAAAATGAAACCGAGTTTTCAGATAAGCAGACAAAATGCGTGATCCAAACGGTACCACGGCGTTTTTAAAAACGCCCCTACAATTATAAGATGCCACAACCAAGCCCTAATATAAGTTAAAATGTTTTTTAATACTAGAATAGTAAATTAAATTTGAAATAAAAAGTTATTTTAGGTTCAACTTCACTCTTCATTTACTACGCTTAAGGTATATTAAATCATTATACATTTTGTAGATTTAGATATGCTCATAAAAAAACTAAGCATGTGGCTGAAGTTTTAGCATACTTGTTAAAGACAATCTTTATAGAACAGATTAGAGGGAACAATTTCTTAGATAAAAATGATTCCGAACGGCGCCTAAATTAGGGGTGTAAATGAACCGAACATAAAGGAACAGTGCTTACGTCCGTGTTCGATTCGTTTGAAATTTAGCTTGTTTGAAATAAACTCATGCTTAAAATTATTCGTGAAATCATTTTTTATGTTCGTTTCCTAACAAACGAGCCGAACACGAGTTTTTCGCAAACAACAAGCCAGTTTGACATCCCTAATATTAATATATAATATCTATATTGATATATTACTAATATAATATACTAATATATCATTATTATTAATTTATTACATATTATAATTTATAAAATTTAATTTTTTAAAATATCATTACTTTTTTATATATAATTATTTTATATTTCGAACAATAACGATTCGAACACGAACAAACGCATCACTGTTCGTGTTTGATTCGTTTAACCAACCGAACGAAAAAAAAATTTATTCATATTCGTCTCATTTACTTATCGAACGAATCGAACACAAACTCATTGACGAACCGAACACGAGCTATTCATGAACAACGAGCTTTTTGGACAGCCCTAGCCTTAATTATTTGATCAACTGCAACAAACAATTTTAAAATAAGCAAAATAAAAAAAAAAAAAAACCTGAAAAAAAAAATTAAGATAAGAAGAAAAGACATTTCTTGTTTATATATTGACAGAATACTAAAAATAGGATTTTACTATATTTAAACTTCATACCTCTACACCTTCATAACATCACCAGCAGCGTAACCACAGAGCAACTAGCAATTCTCAAAATGATAGAAACGACAAGCTTTATTTCAACAGAATGATGTAAAATTTTCAAACAGAAGCTCAATAAAACTGAAGTCCTTATACTTGTACATAATGCTAGAAAATTAAAAATCTTCAACAGAGTGTGTGCTCTACATAAAAGCTATTATAAAACGCACGGAACACTGGAAAGAAATAGAATTTGTAACAACACTGCAGTGCAAATAGGACAAGTAGACAAAAACACAGAATATCAGACCACAACACAAGATTTTGCATTACAACTAATTGGATATGTGCTCTTAGATGCAAAAGAAAAGGTCAGAAAATACTCCTCGAGAGGGATAGAAAACGAACAATCGGCGTATTCTGATCAAAGTACAAGTTTCAACCCTGCAAATCCAAGAATGGGTAAAATTTATCTACAAGCCATGCATGCAAACCAATGAGAATTAAATGCAAGAGAAATATGCATACATATTGCACAATACTTATGTATTTACATATGGAACATGCGAAGCTTCATATCTACACTTCTTACACCTTGGTGTAAGAAACCTATGCACGAAAATATGCATTTCAGTTTTAAAGAGATAGTGATAGTATATGTTTGATGTGATGTCAAAGATTTAGGTGCTACGGATGTAAATATGAATTTTTTGGTGTTTGATATGTAAATACATAAGAATTTGTGGTATGTATGTAAATTGCCCCTAAGATTAAAGGTCATTAAAAGTAAAAATTGGATAAGGAAAGTTTCCCAGATATAAAATGGCACTTTCAAGAGGATTGTTACAACGAAGAAAAGAGAAATTACCTTGTTGGCAATGTTGCTGGAAAGCCAGTCGAGCCCCTCGTACAGGCCCTCACCAGAGGTGGCACAAGTGCTTTGAATGTACCTGACGATTAGATTCCAGAATCCCACACCCATAAGATAAGTCAGCTAAAGAAGTACACACCACTACTCATTGAACAAAACCATTGCAATGAAATTTTGAGAGTTACGAGAATGGCTTCTCATCATCACCTTCTTCATTAGACCCAAGAATTTGGGGTTGAACTTTATGAGTCCTATTTCTCAATTCGTTATTTTTAGTGTACCATGAGATTTTAAATTAATTTTTACACATATCTTGCTACATTTTTATTTTCATCTATTTACCGCTCACTTCAAATATTCTTATTAGTTTTAAATATCCTTACGAGAATGTCTTCCAAGTCATAATAACAAAATACATCATGATAAAAATACTCCCTTAGCATCAAAATCACTAAAAGAACTTCACTGAGAATAAAGAATGATACCAGTGTCGCTGACGAAGCGAATGAAGACCAAGCTTATCAGTGATTTCGGCTGCATTCATAGCATTTGGCAGGTCTTGTTTGTTTGCAAACACAAGCAAGACAGCATCACGCAGCTCATCCTACAAGATTCAATATAAATCCAGATAAGCACAGTTTCAAAATAATTTCTGAGCAAAAGATATATTTGGTAATAAGAGAATCCGCATATAAAACTCCTTGCTGCAAGCAATACAGCATTCTTAATAATTGTTTTAAGAAACTGGTAATCAAATAATATTGCTCACTACCAACCTCAGCATCTTCTAATTATTCAACAATCATGAAGAACCTTTCAATAAGCACCTTGAAGATAAAGGAGATTCCAAGAACCATGTGAATTCTATTTGTACACAGCTGGTTTTGCGACTGGGGATTGGAAACGTAGTTCACAAATGGATAATAAATTGCACGTCTTCCTTAATTTTACACTGAGACTTCTCGCCCAAAATTTTGATTTTCAACTGAAGCACTCCACGAACTAATGCACCTCTCATCCAACCATGTTCAAAGTATGCCTCTCACCTTCCCACCCCTTTATTTCATCTTATAGAACATAGAAGTTTGCTTTCTTATTTCTAACCAATTATGTGCTTCAATCGAGCCATTTAAGGCAACTGATGAAATAAGCATATATATAATCTTCAAATAATATATATCATGTGCCATAAACGTCTTTACAAATTTAGTTAGTTCGCATCCATACAGAAATATATATTTTCGTGAAGGTGTAATATATATTTTCAGTGATGCAAACAATGAAAGACCACTCAAGCAGAACTATTCAAAAATATGGCTTAGAATACTGCAACAAGATTTACCATGGACAAACAGAAATGATCACAAACTCTAAATAAATCAACCACAGTGCGCATTGGCCCTCCATTAATAGGTTTAATAAGTCAATGACAATTATTTAAAGTTGATTACTGCTTAAAAAAAGCCTCTGCACAAAGATTTCAAGATAATATCCCAAGTATGTTATGAAAAGCACATTTAGAGATGAATATTCAAAATTTTGATGAGCGAATAGAGCAGAATTTAGATCATACATATTCTCAAATTTTCTTTTTTGTTTATACAAAAGATATTAATCGTGCATAGATGTATCGCTGTTAAGACAAGCAGCCCTTTGTCAAATTATTTCATTAGTGGTGGTGAATTCATCAACTTTTCATTCTCAATAAGTAAATACATAACACTAATTAAATCAAATGTAAGTTTTGTCGATCCAACAAGTATTTTCATATACATGATAACATCACGGACATCAACACAAAGAGCTTTAAACAGCAATTAGAATGATTATGCTGACAATGATGATGATGGTGAGTTGTAGTTCTTGTAATTTCATTTAAAGTTTTTTTTTTCTTTCATGTTTGTTGATGAAGCTGCTAGAAACCTATTTTTCTTCACAGCACAAAACAGCAAAAACCTATATGCATAAAAATAAGTACCTACAATTCGAGAGGAGCCAATTTCTCTCTAACTAAGTTTCAAAATAACAATCACATATCCTAACCCTAAGCATGTTAGACATATTTATACCCCATATTAATAATTATGACTAAATTGCTCTTTTAGTTTTACACCTAACACAAGTCTTCAAGCTATTTTGGGCGGGTCTTAGTGTCGACTTAAGTAGAGCACAAGGCAGATGGTGTCATAGGAACCGGTCTAACATTATTTTAATCCCAAAAAGACATCTTGTCCTCAAGATAGAAGAGAGAAAATTGTTGTTGGGTCAAGTTATATGACTCCCACATGGCGTCATAATATGACAATTCATTTCATTTAATCAACACTTCTTTCCCACATGTCGATTTCTAATGCACCATTTTAACTCAAGTGACTCTGAGAGAATTTTCATTGCATTTTTATCTTTAACCAACTACATTAATTCCACATTTTTCCCCAATCCTTGTGGTCTCGGCAGACAAAACATTACTCAAATTTTTGGCCTCAACACTTTCATGATGTATCCCTCCCAAACTGCAGAACAGCATCTCAAATTTCTCCCTATAATCCATGACAGACCCTTCTTGCACTAATGCAAAAAAGTGTCATGTAAATTTCCTTCTCGTGTGATTCTGAAACACTCCAACAATTACTATTGAATTATTCTCATGTTGTGATTTACTAACATTATTCTCTCCATTGATACTATGTTAGAACCTTCCCTTCCAAACACAAGGCCGCAACCATCAAATTTTCTCCCTCCGCCAGCCCGATAACAACAAAATATCTTCACCACACGATAAACCTAATCATAAGCATCCTCTCTTTCAAACATCGACATCTACAACTTCCTAATGCGTGAGTCACATCCAAAATTTTCTTGACCGAAGTTCGTTCCACCCATGAAGTGAGGGTTGGACCCACACTAATTTCCCTTCTTCCATAAGTCCGACCCACCCCATAATCAGCTCGCTTGTCCCCATAGACACATGAATCGTCTTCCGCCCAAAAGGTTGCCGCAACAAAAGACACTGGAGCGGTTGGATGCAGCCCTAGGTTGGGGTCCCACCAACCGTGGTTCCTTCTTCCATGCCAAAATCCTTCAAATCGAACTTCTCCAGCACCAAATTCACAAGCTATTCCGTTCCATCTGTTATCGCTCATTCCAAACCTCCAAATGTTGTGTAATTCCCTCATCTGCTTAATCACTACTACAAATCTGTTTAAAGAAGTGATGCTGCCTTAATCCACCCGAGTCCTTCTGATTGTTGCCCTAATCCACCCAAGTCCTTCTGATTGCTGCCCTACAACTTCCTTATGCGTGAGTCACATCCAAAATTTTCTCGATCGAAGTTCGTTCTACCCATGAAGCGGGGGTTAAACCCATATTAATTTCCCTTCTTTCATAAGTCTGACCCACCCCATAATTAGCTCGCTCATCCCCACAGACACATTAATCGCCTTCCGCCCAAAAGGTTGTCGCAACAAAAGACACTGGAGCGGTTGGATGCAGCCCTTCGTTGGGGTCCCACCAACCATGGTTCCCTGTTCCGAGTCAAAATCCTTCGAATCAAACTTCTCCAACATCAAAATCACAAGCTATTTTGTTCCATCTGTTGTCGTTCATTCCAAACCTCCAAATGTTGTGTAATTCCCTCATTTGCTTGATCACTACTACAAATTCATTTAAAGCAACGATGCTGCCCTAATCCACCCGAGTCCTTTTGATTGTTGCCCTAATCCACCTGAGTCCTGATTGCTGCCCTACAACTTCCTTATGCGTGAGTCACATCCAAAATTTTCTCGATCGAAGTTCGTTCCACCCATGAAGCGGGGCTTAGACCCATATTAATTTCCCTTCTTCCATAAGTCTGACCCACCCCATAATTAGCTCGCTCGTCCCCATAGACGCATGAATCGTCTTCCGCCCAAAAGGTTGTCGCAGCAAAAGACACTAGAGCGGTTAGATGTAGCCCTTCATTGGGGTCCCACCAACAGTGGTTCCTTCTTCCGGGTCAAAATCCTTCGAATCAAACTTCTCCAGAACCAAAATCACAAGCTATTTTGTTTCATCTGTTGTCGCTCATTCCACACCTCAAAATGTTGTGTAATTCCCTCATCTGCTTGATCACTACTACAAATCCATTTAAAGCAGCGATGTTGCCCTAATCCACCCGAGTCCTGATTGTTGTCGCTCGCATCCACTCAAGATAACGTCGCTTGATCATGCGGCAAGCGAAGTCAATTTTGTGTAAAACTTCACGATCTTCATCATGTCTTCTAAGACCATGAATCTTCCCTCCATGGACGAGAATTGCCCTTGGATGGACAAGAACCGTTCATCCATGGTCGAGAGAAGCTCCTCCATTTCAGATTTGATTTGGGTTACTTTTTCCTCTAATTTTTACTCCGAAGCCTCTACTTTCTTGGTCTTTATTACTCCTAAAAAGATTTTCGATCACAAAAGCATAATTATGTACGCCGCAATCCTGTAGTTGGTTTCCCAACTAGTTGGAATCGCGAAAGTATCACAAAGTTCCTTCACGAAGGCAGTGTGATCGAAATGAATGTATGACAATCCTATCAGATTCCCAACTAGGTTGAACGTGACTGATTCGCGTGAGGCGATTGCGACAAAGAAGCCTGCATGTTGTGATCCCGTCAGCTTCCCAGCTAGGTCAAATGGCGAGTATTTTCCATCGGCACCTGTACATTGCTCAGGCACTAGGCAATTTGGAGCGGTTCCTAAAATTTTGATTGGTCGAGTCGACGATTATAGAATGGTGGAGTAGCTCAAATGATCTAAATACTAATTTATAGTAACTTCCGTAGAAATTTGGGCAAAGCAAAATATATTTCTTCACAAGCACAAAACAACACAATTTAAATGCATAGAAGATAAACATCTACAATTCGAAAAGCAAGCAATCTCTCCCAAACCTTAACCCTAAGATGCAAGATAACAATCACACAACCTAACCCTACACGCATATGAGCCCTATTTATACCCACAATAATAACTAACAAAGGCTAAATTGTCCTTTTAGTCTTAAGCCTAACATTAGTCTTCAGACTATTTTGGTAGGCCCAATGTCGACTCAATGGAGCACGAGACGGAAGGTGTTGTAGGCGTCAGTCTAACAGAGGCATTTGTATAATTATTGAGTGAAACTTTCTTGCATCAAAATATAGTTAATTTGTATAAAGTTACAACACAATGTACCTTGGTTGCCTATGTAGTTGTGTTATTTTGTTTTAAAATAATATGATGTTTATATTGAATTAGAGTTATAGTAATTAATGAGGTCATATGGTTGTATTTTTTCTTTATTTGCAGGTTATGCATGAATTGAAAATGAATGCTACACAATCTTTTTGTCGACATTTGTGATCAATATGGGCCACAAATAAACTTATAAAGCTCCTTTAGCTAGCCATTTGAAACCATTGCAACCATAAATTTGTAACAATGAAGCTTCCATAGTATATATTTGCAACAGTAAAGGCTTGTCACAAAAACACTTACGATGCATTGATTTGCAACCAATTCTATGACGGCACTTGCTATCCAAAATAAGCCTTGGCAATAAAATCTATGATAGAAACCACTACTGCAAAAATGCTTATATCCTAGTGAGGAAAAGCTAGATGCTAGAATATAACTTATTCTAAGAAAAATGGTATTAGTCTCACATCAAACTACACTAGACTGCATGGACCACCAAAACATAGATCCCAGCAAGCAGGTGTGCAATCTTTCTTAAAGTTTGAAGGGAGACGACCAGCAACCATCTCCGATCCAAGGACCGGGAAAAATCCCCAAACATAGAAATGTGGATGCAACAATATGAGTTAATGCCTGTAGATCCATGGAGCCCATGAAATCGAGAGCATGAAAGTTAATTGGTATATTCGGCAAATGGGTTAAGGAAACGAGGATATCACACTGCAATACTTAACAACTTTATAATGCAGCTTAAAACATCATCCCAACTGGTTTTAAAACTGGCTATGATGACAGCCTTAACACCAAACATTTACGTCCCGCCTCCATGGACAAGCCAACAAAGACAAGTGTTCTGCACAGAATTTTTTAAAAGTTGCCAGCACTGACCTTGCCACTTTCGCCAATGCCTGAAATATGAGGGTTAGATGCACATGAATCAATAAGAAGTACCCAACCTAGAAAAATAAATCTCTCCTGTCTAAACCACGGTTCAATCCCATTCAAAAGCACGATAACTCAGGCAAGAAAAACAGATAAAACAAACAATATGCATTTGGATAATTCCTTCCAATTTCAGACATGCAAAGACCGCTTGACATCATTATTTTATTCATCATTTTATAAAATTTGAATTGCTATTTTATTTGCCCCGGGTCAGCCCCCTGGTACATCTTAAATGATTTACTAATTGTATGTCTAACTTGAGTGTCAGATGCAACTACAATAGGCGTGCCTTCTGAGAAAGCATTGACCATTTGTTTTGACTTCTATGAATGAGGTTGATTTGGATGTGCGAAGTTGAGAACTCATCAACCCCATTAGCAAAAGTAACTTGCGACATGTGATAATAACAGTTTGGAAATAGTTAATTAATTTAAATGGTGCATCTGCAATATGAATGCATCCATAAATATTATTCTTCAAATGTGATCAAGCATATTATGAACACTCGAGTCAGAACCAAAACTAAAGGTACATCTAGCAGAAATACACTTCTGAACTTGCCTCATTTAGCATTCTGTGCAGCTCATCCCGGGCCTCAATGACTCGATCTCTGTCATTACTGTCAACAACAAAAATAAGGCCTTGTGTATTCTGGAAATAGTGCCTCCACAATGGTCTGATCTGTTCATTTCCAGTAAAAAACAAAAATAGTTTCATCAAAATATGTTATAAGAACTAAATTGTCCTCAAGAATTGAAAAAAATCGTCACAACTACATACCTTATCTTGACCACCAACATCCCAAACAGTGAAGCTAATGTTCTTGTACTCAACAGTCTCTACATTGAACCCTGCAATGCAAAGCTGTTAAGCCTACAAAATACCATCATATAACAACATTCTTTCAAAAAAAGTAAGCATATCGAACAAAACATTAATGAACTAGGTTTAATATTAGCAATACGGTCTTAAAGATAAAAATAAAATTGTTTCCATTCAAGAATAATCCACAGAGTTCCAATTTTTCAGTTTTGCAACTGTCTGCCAAAAGACTGGACTTGTATTTTACATTTAAATATTTGGGCGATGTGTATAAATAAATATGACAAAAATTCAGTTCATTTACATCTTAAAATGCAATGGGAATAATTTAACATAAATTAAATGATTTTAAATTTAATTAAATAACAAGAGTTGATGATGAACAATATAAAAAATGTTCCAAAAAGATAAATATGCTAACTTTTGAAGATTATCCAAGAAGAAAATAGCTATTCAAAAAAAAAGTTAGCCCAAAAACTGTGGCTTGCGGCATGGCCTGTCAACCACACTGAGACACACAGACCTATGATGAACTTCTAATAATAGTAGAACAAGCAGCAAGAGTCACCACAAAAATTAGGCCAATGTTAGCCAAAACAAAAACATAGGCCAGACTTTTGACAGGGTCCTGCCTAAAAGTATCAGTTCTGGTGGAAATTTAGCCATTCTCAATACAAGAAGAGGCGGACAGGACAACTTTGCATGCCGAAGTGCAGCATCTGACAAAGCTCTACCATAAACTACCAAACCCCCAAAAAAAAATGCACAATAAGAAAAGGTCCAGAGAGGTCCACAGGCAAAAATAAGCAATCTACTTATTTTGAAAACATAGGCTATTGCCTAACTACCACAGAAAGCATCCGATACTTCTACTAACAGTTAGTACACTTTTATATACAAAAGAATAATAGTAAAACAATTGGCACATTTTAGCAATTAAGCAGTTAAAACCATTTTTAGGCCTCTCATATAAATACAAATAAATTAGGGAAAAAAAAAGATATACAATTACTTGATCATTATGGTTTTTGAGACTAATGCTTATTGGGCTTACAGGTTGGCTCCACGGCAGGGATAGACAATTAAATATCTGTCTCCTATGGTTATTATAAGATCAAAGATTATTACTGCCTAAGATGGGATGTATAATCATATATAAGTTTGAAATTGTAAAGATACTTCAGAAAATTTAATTGCAATTAACCAAAGATTTGATTTGCAAGGAGTTGAATTTCATAAATTAAACTAATGATTATACTCAATTCTTTTCAAAGAGTGTTGCTTGTTAAAACAAAAACTACATGGGTTGTTATGAAACATAAAGAGTAATATTTAGCATTTATTATTTATAAGGATCAATTAATTTATAAAATTAAGAGCTTTTGGCAGGGATATGATGATGTCTTTGGATATTTATAGGTTCAAAAATTTTATAAGCAAATATAATTTGCTTAAAGATTACTTTATTATAGCCATCCATCTCATCAAAGTCTCAGGCAAAATAATTAAACATTAATTAAACTATAATCCTTCAAAGATAACTTCATTATAACCAAGTATCATCAATATCTTAGGCAAAATAATTAAACATGAATTAAAGTATAATCCTTCAGAGATATTAGATCAACTCTAATCCATCCCTAATTTCTTACTAAAGTCCTTTAGTGAAACAAAATAATTGTAGCATAATAATTTAAAAGCAAATAACATACAAAACCAATAAGCCCTGCATAATACTCAAATAAATTATGTTTGCTTGTCTAAATCCTTAAATAGGCCATGCAAATGCAATTGATTCTTATAGTCAGTCACCAAAATAATTGGGAAGAACTCAGGTGTTTTGATTTAGGACATTCAGTTCATTAGGAATAAAAAATAACGTATTTAAAAACTTCTAAAACACTAATCTAATTTCAAATTTTTTTATGACCATACCTTTCATCAAATAAATGAATAAAAGTTTAAACCTCTTGTTAATAATGTTGTAGTTGTCTAGAAATAGCTTACAATATATTATTTAAATTGGATTTTTCGCTGCTTGTTCGTTGATCAAATAAATAGCTTGATTTAAATAGACAAAATAAAGCAACTATAAACTCTAATGCCAATTTGATGCAAAAGGTCCAAGGGTTTATGTGCTCCTATTGCAACAGGAATAATGCAATTAATATAGATTACACAACAAAAAAAAATTATGTTTTACAGATCAAAGATCATAAAATATGCAAAAAAAACACTTTTTTTAGGTGCAGCCTACATAATTGAAGTAAAATCCAAAAAATAAAGTAATGATTGAATAATTCTAGGAAATCAATGAAAAATTCAAATTACGCAAAACAAATGAGAATTCTTTTTCTTTTCCAATCAATATTCCAATTATATCAAATCTGAGCAAATTATACTGTTGTGAGCGAATAAACAAGGTATTGAGATGTTAGAATAGGAAAGAGTTCAGTTCACCTAAGTAATAAAACTCTAGGCATCACGTTAGCAAAAGAGAAAACTTGTTCTAAAATAAATGGTAACATGTGCATCACACTCAAATAAATTACACATTTAGCTTATGTAAACAATAATGAAAATTGAAATCAAAACCTTCTAGAACAATAAGGTTTTTTATAATTTCTTAAATCCTGAGGCAGAGAGAAAGAGATAGGGATAGAGAGGCAGGAGAGAGAGAGAGAGAGAGAGAGAGAGAGAGCAAAAAACAATTTTTTTCCCTAGAAAATCCTGTCCCAAAAAACAATTTTTTTCCCTAGAAAATCCTGTGATTTCCACTTGTTTGTGCGCTTGAATTGTTTAATAAATACGGAAAATTAAATAGATTAAACTCAGGGGGTCAACGGCGACGGAATGTTTCTACCATCTGCGCTAAAATCGAAGTAAAGACATATTTCAACAGTTTTCAGAACTAATAAGGCTGTAGAGAATATAAGTGGTTAGAGGATGAAGAAAAATGTGATTTTTCTTATTGCAGCATACTAAGTGGACGAAATATTCCAAGGATTTTCATTGATTTTGCATTCTCTTGCATGTTCATCATGGATTTTGATGTGTTTTACATTCTTTTGTATGTTCACCTTGTGTGTGTGTGTGTGTGTGTGTTTTTTTTTTTTTTTTTTTTTTTTTTTACTTTGTATTTTGTTGCATATTTCCACCATAATTTATGTTATTTTGGCATTCTCTTGCATGTATCACCATGAACTTAACTTGCTCACCTTCCCTTTCCATTTTTCTTCCATGGCCTGTACCCCTAGCCCGCCTATCCACCTAACCGATCCCTAGATCCACTAAACCACCTAACCCGAGCCCAAGATCCACCCAGCCAGCTAGACCCCTAACAGTATGATAGTAAAAGATAATGGCATTTATATCAGGAAACAATGGAAAGAGCTGGGACTTTAAATATATAGTATTTATCTTAATAACATGATAAGCGCCATTGGATTCTCCTTGACACCTATAAATGAAAGAGGCAAAAACAAGGAAATCCGCCAGAAGATGAATCAGTTTCAAATGAAAAAGGTGAATGCAATTGACCTGAAAGATGGGCACAATCATTCATAATCGGTCAGCAATCACCACGTAAAGATAGCAGCAAATTTTTTAAACGTCTTTCTCCACCATATCACGAAGAAGAAATATGGAAACCATAAGACCTCAAGGTTACCAATAGCAAACCCAAACTAATAATAATAATAATAACTCAAAACAAAGTTTGAAGTGATAGATCAAGGGCTTACCAATAGTTGGGATGGTAGTAACAATCTCTCCGAGCTTCAGCTTGTAGAGAATCGTGGTCTTACCAGCGGCATCAAGACCAACCATTAAAATCCTCATCTCCCTCTTCGCAAAGAGACGGCTAAAGAGCTTCGTAAACGTAAGCCCCATCTTCCCCCCAATCTGAATCGCAAAGACAGAGCCTAATGAGTCATACAAATGCTGAAAACAAACAAAAATAACTTAAAATACAAAGAAAAACTTCAGATCGAATAGCAATCTAGCCAAACTACAGAGATCCCTGATTACAGATCCGTAACCAATTTGAGGCAATATCAAATTACCCAAACATAAAACAAGCAAAAAAAAAAAAAGTAAAATGGAAGTTGATCGTGATGAAGAGAAAGGACGTTTCCTGCCAACAGATAACTCAGATCTATAAATTGAGAAGTTAGATCACCAAATATGTGAACAGATTACTGAAAAAACAATTTCAGATCTGTCCAACTTTTAGCAGATCGCGAAGCAGATAGTGGGGCTCAAAGGAAGATCTGGGAAATAAAAGGAATAGACTATACTTGTCAATATTAACGAAGCATTACCAAGAGATGTACGCAAACAGATCTAGATGATTACTGGCGAAGATTAAAAAGAATGCGAACCCGATCGTCCTCCTCCTCCGCTCTGCACGAATGGAAGCTAACGGAGAGAAATGGAGGAAACCGTAGAGGAAGAAGTTTATATAAAGTGGGCTGAGGAGGAAGCAATCGATCTTCGGCAATAGCAGATTCCAGCGTTGAGGGCACGCATGTGTGACCGGTGATGGCCCGCGACGACTGAAGCAGCCAAAGGCGAAAACAGAGTGTGACCGGTGTCAACTGGGTATAGCCGGTTGGATTAAAGAGAAGGGAGTCGACCAGGAAAGAGGAACGCAGTCAAATGTGGTCTGGAGCGTTTTTTATCATGAGGTGCCGTAAACCTGTTTCATTCTAGATGTTAATAAAATAAGGATTTATATCTAATTTTAATTTAATTGTATTTATTTGAAATTGGGATAATTACATACGCACCATCCAAAATATTGATATTTACAAATTATTCATTTCCATAATTTTTTTGTACTATCTAACCGATATATTTATATGCATAGCACCGAAATCACTGTTATTTACAAAATCTAGCACTCATATGATATTTTTGAACTACTGAACTGATTTATTTGCACGTGTCATGATCAAATCATTGGAAATTTGATAATAATGAAAATTTTGGGTTAGGGTTTTATCATGAATTTTGTTATTTGAGTGAGAATTTGAAAAATGGATCAAAGAGAGTGATGGATTTGTAAATAGCAATGTATGTAATTGCCCCCAAAGGAAAATTGTGAGTTGGGTTTTTACCTTAAAATTTTGATATTTGAGTGAGAATTTGAAAAATTAAGGAAATACAATGTTGGATTTGTAAATAGCAAGTTTCGGGTGGTCTATATATAATTGCCCTGTCATTAAAATATATTTTATTTATATAGGTAATAGCAAAAATCCCCTTGGTTGGGTTAGATTCGACTGATTGCCTCAATTAGAGAATTATGTATGTTAGTTCATAGATAATGATCTACTCACGAATGTCCGATCAAACTAAAGCAACCCAGCAAGTAGTCAGAGAGGTCCAAGTGGCTTCACAGCTGACTCGAAACTAAACATGAGATCAAATCGCACAAGAAGATCAAATTGTCACATGGTTGAATTGATCTGCAACAACAATACTATATTTTTTTTAAAAAATGTGTTTTATAGGGAACGATTATCCATGGAAGACATTAGTAGAAAAGAATTTTCCGTAGCATTTAATTCTCATCTTCGGGTTAGTGTAATGCTCTGATACCATTTAAATATCATGAACGCTCATCCATCGATAATATTGTCCGCTTTGGCCTAATGGCCTCACAGTTTTATCTCGTTGGTGTAATTTTCTAGGAGATCACCTATCCCAAGTGTGCTCTCCTGGAAGCACATTTAACTTTGGAGTTGCTATTGAAATTATAGTCATTATATCAAAAGGTGTCTCAATGTTTAAAAGTTCAAGCTTCATTCTATTTAAGGGGTTTTACACATATCATGGTATACACCTTAATGTTCTATCTTTCAGGAGACTCAAATGTCATCTTAATGTCAACAAGACGAGTTTTTGTTCTTCACGAGAATATTACCAATGCATAGCGTTCCAGATTTTTAATATTATGAGTCATGAATATTTATTTATTTCATTGGTCTTTAGTATGTGGTGTTAACATTTTCTTTTAATTCAAAATAAATAATCTTCTAATGAAATTTTAAGAAAAGTGTGGCATTGAGTTTTAGGGAGATTTACATGCCTACCCCCCAATCTCTAGGTATTAACATATATCAATCACCTAAACTTCAATTTTTATATATCAATTTTAGATCGAGATGTATTTCATATCACGTAAGAAAATGCCACTATTTTAAGTTTTAAAAATTGAAATACACTTTTGCATGCATACATAAGATGGCATACATTAAAAAGAAAATATTAACTTTAAGGGTTATATATGCAAATACATTAGAATTGAGAGGTATGTATGTAAATCTTCCTAAAATTTTAGGGTTTATGTTAGTAATTAGAGTTAAGTGCAACGAAGGAGCATCAACTACAAGCAATGATGGTGGAGCAATTAGTGTGATAGAACAACTATGGTAGAACTACGACACATGTTAGGATAATCATTGATACTTTATACAAGATAAAACTTTAAAATTCTTAAGATCTCTTAGTTCTCTACAATGTAAAGTTTAAGTTTGAAGCCTCCTTTAATGTGAAAATAATGATTTATTTATAATTTCTCAAATGTTTCTTCAATAATTTAAGTTAAAAGCTTCAAAATACTTCATCAGATGACTTATACTAAATTTCATTAATCGTGTATGAGGCTCATTTAAATTTTGTGTGGTATTTTTTAATTATTTAATGAATTTTCTAATGACGTATCAATTCCTCTATTTTATTTATAAACATCATTATTTTTACATATTAGCTTAATAATCCACTTTCTCTTAATAATCCACCTAGAGCTCCAATCTAAATTATTATTTTTTTTAAATGCACTCCCAACTTCTTCACCAAGTTAATGAACAAGGCATCAACATAACACCCTCCATCCACCACTAAATACAACATATCAAAGGGGTTAATGGTGGTTATCATCACTATGGCATCATAAAGTAGTGTTCTTATATATAGTAACTAAAGTAATGAATCTCATAATTTATAATTTGCCTCAAACTTCTTTGATGTGAGGCTTCAAAATTGCTTCTACCACCAATGGAATCTATAGTAGAAATTATATGGATCATGCCATTCTTACTTGTTCCTTGGCAAGATGCTGAGCAAAGAACTCCCACAATTTTTTTTTTGTAAAATCCTAAAATTCTTGCCTCAAGAACTTTAGATAAAAGACTCAGAATTTGATGCATCTTTGAATTTTAGAAAATGATGTTTTCATCTAGATAACATATTTTTAGAAAATTTTTTAACATATATGTGATAAAGAGTATTAGGATGTGAATAGAAAATATTAAAGCTAGGCTGGATAAAAAAATAATAAATTTTATGTTCACCGAAATGTTTAACATCAACAACTTCGTACTTTTACACTTGATGCCTTCCCAAAAAATTATTTCAATTATGCATGAATCTCGATGCATATTGGGATCGAGAGCTCCAAATATTTAATTACATATAGTACAATACAAATGAAATGTTCTGGCAAGATGAACCAGATGATATCAATCATGGCTTGATCTGAGTCTAATTGAGCCTGGATCATGTGGTTTAAACATAGTAAAAATTTTTTAGATATATGTTGGGAGACTAAATGATCTCCAAATATGATAAATTTTGAATGAGATTGATTATGTCAACGAGAACAAACTAACAAGCCCGGATCACTTAATTGTGACATCACCAAGGCACTTAAATACTTATAAAATATCATATGATTGAAAGGATCCTTATAGGCCATCCGATGAAGTGGCTTGAATTCATGCAATATTTATGGAGGATGCCCCTCACATAATCTATAAATAGACCCTACTTACTCTCTTCATGAAGGGGTGACCTAGACTTGGAGAAGAAAGTTGAAGGAGTTTCAAGCTCTTGATGATTCCTGAGCACCACCACCAACAGACCACCGTCATTGGGTTTCCGCCATCGTCAAACCACCGTTGTCAGGCAACCAATGTCGTCACCATTGGATCACTATTATCAAGTTGTCGTCGTCGTCAAAGCACTAATGCTCGACCACCACTATCGCCACCTTAACTGGACCACTGTTGTCCGGCCACTGCCACCAGACCACAACTATAGCGTCGCGCCACCGTAGAACTAAGGCGGCCTAGCCGCCACAGTCTTCAAACCACCACTATCTTCGCCGCCATACCACCTCCATCTAGCCACTGTCGCGTCCAAACCATCATTGTCTTGCCACCACTATGGATGTCGCCAGACCACCATCGTTTAGCCACCGTCGCTGCACCACTTTCGTTTTCTCTGTACCACTCTCATTGGGTTGTCGTTCTAACGACGCTAGCATTAGATTTATTGGCACATGACTTCTCCTGTCTGTTTTCCTTCATAGTTGTCGTGTCACTGTAACCTCCCCAACTTATTCTACCACTCACCAGCAGAAGTCACATTAATAAATCCCACTTATGTAATATTGTTTTTTGCTATTCAAGGGTCCGTAAAATCTTATAACCTACCTCGACATAGTGTAATCATTTCAACTCAGCGAGACCGTGTGATTTTTACTCTTTTGAATTTTCCCCGCAAAAATCTTGATGTCCTCTCTGTCACCGTCTTATTTTATTTGTCTATGTGTCAGATCTTTGTACAACAATAGAATGTCAACATATCACTGTCCTGTCACGCGAATCTATCAACAAACAACAACACTAAAATATTTTTCAAGCGTTCAAAGCTAAACAATTTGAACCTAAAGTTTAAGATATCTCCCTCCTACATTTTACATGGCATCACTCCACATCAATCATCGCTTCCTATCAATCAAAAATATCATCATATATCATTCATCAAAAGCTAACTCAAGCACATTGACTTTCACTTCCTCTAGAACCTTACCCAACCATGGGAAAAGAGCCATGCACTAAATAAAACAAGTTAGATTAAAACAAATTAATATGATAATAAAAACCTAGTAAGAAATCAAATATCAATTATTATGTTAAAATAAAATAAATATTTATGATAGAATGAATATTTATATTAAGACCGTTAACATACCTACCACTCAATTATTATCAATTTACATTTTCAATACTTCAATTTTAATTTTCACATTTATACCACACAATCTTTCATATCACATCAAAAATACCATCATTTTAACTTTTAAAAAGTGAAATGCATCTTTACATACAAAATGATAGTGGAGTGCACCTAAAAAAGTAAAGTTTAGGTATTAGCTATATAAATATGTAAGAATTGAGTGGTATGTATGTAAATCTTATTTCCTTTTATAGATAAAATACATCTTAATTGAAAAAATAACCTTAGCTATTATCACCCAAACAACCCAAAATATTCACTCGAAACCTTCAATAGTGGGTAAAATGAAATACATCTTTACATAAATACCATTCAAGTCTTAATTATTTATGCATCTAACACCTAAACTCCATTTTTTTACATAGTTACCACCTTTTTTATGCATAAAAAGGTGTATTTCACATTTTAAAAGATAAAATGATGATATTTTTTATGTGATATGAATGATTTGGGTGGTATAAATGTAAAAAAAAAAGCAAAGTTTAGGTGTTAGATATGTAAATGCATAGGAATTGGGTGCTATTTATGTAAATATCCCTAAATATAAACATATTCCGAGGTATGAATTTGTTGACTAAATCTACAGCTCCACTTAGAGACAGGAATTCTGCAGCACGATCCCATAAAATTGGCTAACCATGAGTAAATTTTGATCTTTCACTCCAATTTGTAGAGCTATTTTCCAAAACGATGGGACAAATTAGATTACAGTACCACAGAAGCTACCTGGACATAGTTCCTCAATCTCATACCTCACCTCCTCCAGGTGCTCATTGATGCTTGTCACTGCATCTTGGACTCCTCTAATGGCTTCCTTGAGAGACCTTTCATACTCAGCGTCAGCCTCAGCATCCAGAGTTCCATCTGCTTCAGTAATCTCCCGTACATGCCGGCACTCATGCTTTGTTTCGTTGCCGGAGCGACAGCTTTCATGGCTCACCAGCCTCTCTGATGGCCGACCGGCCTTCTTCAGAATCTGAATCTTTGCAGTCTGTACCAAAAGAGTGTTGAATTCATATGAATTGCGTTTGGAAAGCCACCCATAAATTTTCCATGCAATTATCAAAATGCTAAGGGGGAAGGTAATAATATAGCTCCAACATGGTTGGTGGAGACTGAACAAGATAGTTGTTAAAATTTTAAGTTTGTAAACTATAAACTTTGCATGCATATTACATGAATTTGTGCACCTCATACTTGGTCTGCATTAGAAGATGCCCAGTATCACAATAACTTCTTATAGGAGTTTTTAAGTTCATTTCCCGTTTCCCGATGAAAGAAAATCTCAAGAAGCTCAAACTACATAAACATTATCAAGAAATATTGACATAAATGTACTGATAAAACAACAGTGAAATCTAAAGGAAATAACAGAAAAATAAAAGGCTAGCAGTGTCCACTTATTATTTGATTGTTCTAAATGCTTCCTGTAGTTTGTAAAGTGGAAAGAGTAACCAGAAAATGCTACAATCAGGAACTTGATACATCCATGCTGTATTCTTACAGCACTGCGGAGGTATTTGTAATAAAAATGAAAGCAAAACAAAAATTCAAAATTGATCCCAAACAACCCCTAAACTCCAAAATATGATTTGTATGAGGTATTTGTAATGAAAACAGGAAGAAAAAAAAATCAAAAATAATTTACCAAATGTAATTTCTGCTTCTCTTGCACTTGTACCTCCTTCAAAAGACAAGCAAGGTCGCTGCGTGATGTTTCAGGCATCAAAAACAGTGATTCCATTTCAAGGACCTGCAATTTGCTATGTTTACCTTTTAACCCATATGCTTGATTGACAAAAGGGAGCGTGGAAAGAGAGAGAGAGAGAGAGAGAGGGGGGGGGAGGAGTTAGAGAGAGAAAACTTGTAACGAAGTTACTTGCTTCCTTTGAACAGTCATTGAACTCAGTAGTGATCTCGGCACATAGTTGTTGATAAGCCATTTCTTCTCCATGAGCCATGTATTCTGCAAAACCCCTGCAAAAGAACTCATAGTTGTTAAAGAAAAAAATAAATCACAGCTTCACAGAACAAGACATTGAAAACAATTTTTCAACTTCAGTCAACAATCACTGGTCATGTAAGTCTATATAAAACCATAAATATGCCGAAATCAACCGTCTTTTGAAGCTAATGAGAATTAAAAATGCAAAAGAAATATATAATCCCATTATATCGATTATACATGGCCCAGGATTGGAAGGCTATGCCCTACCTTTAGCAAACATAAAATAGTCTGTAGCCTTCATTACTTTCTGAATCTATTGATCAGCACAGTTAGGGTTCATTTGCTCAAGCTGAAACTTCTTTGCAACACTTAGTTTCCAACAGAACCAGCATCTATTGACAAATGCTTGCCAATCAATGTGCTTGATTTGTTTGTCAATCCTTCTATTGTCTAGCTCAATGGGCCTTTTGTGTAATATATGTGCTTACATGTATATGAAAATTGCAAAAGTTCCTATTGGAAATGCCACTTCTTCTTAGTATTCTTCTAGTTTAAAATTACACAATAAGAGGTGTACCTTGAGGCCACTCTCAACACTTTTTCTAAAAAAGTCACAATGAGGCTTACGCTTTATTGTCCAGGGCGAGGTCCGTCTCGCCTTAAAAAGAGCCTAAAATTTGTGTAGTTATCCACCTTTTTTTAATAAAACAAAAATCAAAATTTATATACCGCATCTATCAACCCTCACAACTCACACTAAATATCAAGAAATAAATGAAAAAGATATCCATAAAAAATTAGGTAGTTGAAATTCTAACTATCAACATAATTAATATTTTAATTAATATATTTATTGATGATTATATATTAGAAAAAAAAGTAAGACAATTTAGATTGTAAGGAGGAATTTGAAACTATGTATATTACTCTGGATAAAGCACGTGAAAAACAAGTCATTGCACTAATGATTCCAACGAAAATTCACTATGTGATAGAGTCATATGAACTTTTAAATTTAAATTTCAAAAATTGATAACAAGTTATATATTCTTACTTAGGTGAGGGCAGAATGAGCACGAGAAAAATATTTATGTTGAATTTATTTTTATTGTTATCTTTTGATGTTTTAATATTTTATTTTGATATCTTAGCTTACTTTGATAATTTAAGGATCCATCTTTTTTCATAAGTTGGTATTAAAATACTAACAAGTTACTTCATATTTTGCATAATTTATACTTGTTATTTTGTTAACATGTTATATTATTTTTCTTGTTTTGTTAATATGTTGTCATATTATTTTTGAATGTGTTATATGTATTTCTCACGCCACGCTTTACTGTTTATACAATATTATTAATAGACATAATTTTTTATATTCGAGGCTTATGCCTCAAAACACCTTCATGCTTATGCCTTGCCTCACAAATGAAAAACATCTCAGTTACCCATTTTCATAATTTTAAACCTTCAGTATCCTATAGATTTACAAGCACATGTTTAAATGATGTTTTGTGAATGCTTAAATTTAACTATGAACAATTAGGGGTTGTCTGGTAATGGATTTAGAGTGGGATTTAACCTGAGTGTAGGCTAAAACTTGTCAGATGACCATTTTGGACAAAATATAGCCACAAATTTGATTAATCCGGTCTTTGCGGATTTCGGCCGTAATCCCAAATTTACTAAATCCCGCAAATAGTTAGATTTATAGGATTTACGGGATAGAGCTATTGGGATTTTTATGGATGTAGACAGAACTTCCCAAACAGTTAATGAATTTACCGGATAATTAGATTTCATTGCCAACCAGTTTTCGGGATTTAACCCATTTAGGATTTAGTGAATCCGGTTTTATGGGATTCACTACATCCAAGTAACTTAAACTCATTTTTTGGCAGGCAGCACCTTCAACTCTAAAGCAAGCTTACAACATTCTAATAAACAGCCATTTTATTTTTTTATGCTGAAAGAACTATAAATAACAATTTAACCAAACAAATAATAAATGGTTTCTGAATTTCAGCATACAAACAGAAACTTATGCAAATTATCATCAAAGTTAGCTTCAATAGCTTTTAAACTCTGTCCCCTCGAAATTAACTTTTAAACCAAATTTCCAAACACCCACAGTTGGCCAATGCTAATTGATTGAATGCAAGTGGCTCGTTTTCGACTCCATAAGAACATTACAAAAGGCGCAGAGAAAAGCACGCTTTTCACTGCTTTCAAAGAGGGTCTGCGTTTATTATCTACTGTTTCTTCAAATTCAGAAGACCAATACTACTGAACAAAACGAAGAGTACCTCGATTTGAATAATAGAATAAGTCGAGTGAGGCTGCACTATGACATCATGAAAAAGAAATCTAGGTTTATGAATTAAAACCCTAGTTGATAGAAAAGAAATGGTAAACTCAGCCAAATCCAACATTCAAATAATCTGTATTCCAACAACCAACAAAACTACTACCTCGGAGATCACTGAAGCAAAAAATAGATAATATAGATGTGAATTCAGAGAACTGAAAACGATAGATATGAAAAGAATCAAGTTGAGAAAGAATGGAGTACCGGTGCCAACTAGCGTACGCCTTCGCCCTCCGCTGCTGAACTCCGAGAAATCGCCTAAGCAGGTCCACAATTTTTGCCGACTTTGAACTCAAATTGAGATCCATTGCCTCCATTTCCTTCACAACATCACCTTCGCAGGCTCCCATTCCCTTCTCTTCTGGTATCCCAGAGTCTTCCATTTCTCCTTTCTGCAAGGCCCTACCTTGGCGTTTCTGCTCCCTTTGAAACGATAAAAGATTTTTAAGACAATTTTTTTTTGTTTTCGTAAAATAATGTAAATTGAGTATTTTTATAATTATTCGTGCTCAGGTTCGAATTCATAAAATAAATTTTAATAAAAATTAAATTTAATTTTATATAAATTAAATGATAGAATGCGATATTTTTCATAAAATAATATATAATATTTTAATTTAGGACACTTTATTCTTGCAAATTTTTTTTTCTAAAATTAAATAATTTTTTTAGGATAAAATATTTTAATTGTTTTATCTACTTTATTTAATGAATTTTTTATGTATAGTAAACAAGTTTTAATTTTTTTTGGCATTTGATTGAATGGAAATGAAATTTTGTATAAAAATTTAATGAAATTGGAATTTAAAATGCAGTCAAAACATGTATTGCAGGTCAACATGGGCAGCTATCACCTACAACCATCCCCCCCCTACCCCCATGCAAAAGACAAGACGACCCAATTATCAAACTGGACGTAGCAGTCCAAACCAAAACCAAGGACAAAGTCGACCGGATGCATTTATTCGAGCTAAAACCAATAAGACAAAAGGCATCCAAATGGTCTCAGCCCAAACCCGACAAATTAATACAAAACAGAATGACATTCAAGTTAATCACCATAAAAGGCTTGCTTATTTGTGACATTAACTCAACTTTTTTTGTATGATCATATTATGCTTTTTGGAAGCTTTTTTGTTGTGTTTGCAGGATTCAGGGTAGGAGATTGAACGGAGCTTGAAACATTACATATAGAGCTAAGTACTATTTTGGGGCCTGTGCGCCAGGATCGGATGCCTAGGTGCAAGAAGCAGGTTCAAATCATACAGCAAATAGAGTGCTTGGAAGGTAGGCGCTAGGAGGCTGAAAAGTAGACGCTAGACCATCAGCGCATGGGCACCCGAAACATGATTTTTTGAGCAAAATACTCGTAGTCTAGAAAGTAAGCGTCAAGACACTAGCATCTTAGTGTTGGATTGCCAATGCCTATGCACCGGTCTATTCTCAAATTTGTGTCTGAAAAACCGAGAGCCCGAAAAGTAGACGTTGTAGTTACAAAAAGTAGGTGTTGCGATTGTAGAAAGCAGGCGCCGCACCACCAGCGCCTAGGCGCTGGTTTGCAACAAAATGACATTATCTTCAGTTGAAACATGTCTCCGAGCAGATGAGTCATGTGTGTGAGTCGCATGCTTATGTGAGTGATGTCTTCCCTTAAGTTCAATATCTCGTTGGACTCAAGAGAGGGGTAAAGCAGAATCTCTCTGCACTGTTGGAAACTCACCAACGAAATTCAAAAAAACTCATGAATTAGTAGCAATAGTCACTGCCCATTTTTTTTTCTTACTCCATTTAAATAATAGAAACATATTACAAACCTCTCATCCCAACTGAGAAGATAATAACCTATAAAATTACTTTTAGGAAAGCAAATAAAGGAAAACATATCATGAAAAAGAAAAACTCTAATTAACTTCTAAAACGGGAGCCTTTAATTGAACTTCTTAATTCAAATTCAAAATTTGAATTTTGAATTTTGAATTTGAATTTGAAACTTTAATTAGGATTTATTCGGATTTGTCTCGGTTTGCAATTCCTCCTCCATCATTTGAAACTTTAATTTGAATTTTGAATTTGAAATTAGGATTTATTGTCATTCCTGATTTATCTGGGTTTCCAAATCCTCCTCCATAATTTCCTCTGGATTTGCATCAATTGTCGGCTCTCCTGAAGAACTTGACTCCGGCAAGTTATGTTGACGGTAAGTAGCAAAAAGATGTGGATTTAACTGTTGGAGCTCAAATGCTTGTTTGTAACCAAACAGAGTCCGAATTTACACAATTTTTTTCATTGGACTAAGAACTTGAAATATCCTCCCCGACGAGTCGAAACAAATTGATGGTCTATAATGGCAGCAATCTCATCTCGTGGTATTGTATTTTCTGGCATTCGCATGATCGATGATTCATTTCGAGTTGGTAGTGCAAAAAAGTCACGGTCATCTCCTTTGAATGCAGTAAGGTCTTCAATGTTAAACACTGGGATAATGCTGAAGTTGGAGGGTAGCTCAATAACATAGGAATTAGTTCTTAATTTCTTGATTACTTTAAAAGGGTCTGCTCGGCGGGCATGAAGCTTGGTAAAACTCCTCAGAGGAAAACGTTCCGGCCTTAACCGAACAAGGACCAGATCTCCATTGTTAAAATGACGATCCTTATGTTTTGAGTTTGTTGACGTTGCATAGGAATTTGTGTGGAACGTAAGGCGCCGCTTGCATTCTTCGTGAATAGTTTGCATATAACTAGAAAAATCCGCTGCAGCCTCACTTGGCCTAGGTGGCAACGGTAATGAGTTCATATCTAGTGGAGTGTTGGGTCGAAACCCATAAACCACCTCGAATGGAGCACAACCTGTTGATCTATTAACAAAGTTATTGAAGGCAAACTCTGCATAAGGAAGTATCATATCCCAGCTGGTAACGTGATCCGCAACAAGACAACGTAGTAAGTTCCCTAAACTTATGTTGGTCACTTCAGTTTGACGTCAGTTTGGGGGTGAAATGCACTTGAAAACATCAACTTGGTTCCCATTTTTGCCCACAGAGTCTTCCAAAAATAGCTTACAAATTTGACATCTCTATCGGACACTATGGAGGTGGGACACCATGTAAACGGACAACCTCTTTCATGAATATTGCTGCAACTTTGGATGCATCAAAGGTTTTGTGACATGGAATAAAAAGGGACATCTTCGAGAAGCGATCTACCACCACCATGATTGAGTCGTGTTGTCGAAGAGTCTTGGGCAACCCAAGAACAAAATCCATACTTATGTATTGCCATGGTTTGTCCGGAATGGGAAGTGGTGTGTAGAGTCCAGGTTGTTGTTTGGTCCCTTGTTGAGTTGGCAAACTCGGCACCGGTCAACCACGGTGTTCACATCTCTCCTTAGTCGAGGCCAATAGAAACGATCAGCCACAATAGCATAGGTTTTATCATACCCGAAATGCCCCGCCAAACCTCCACCATGGATTTCGGAAATTAGAAACTCTCGCATTGACCCGCGCGGAATGCAGAGGCGGGACTTGAAGAATAAGAAGTCCTCCCGCAGCATGTAGTCATTACCCGATGGCCGGTTGTGCTCGAGATCATACCATACCTTGCTGAAATCTTTGTCATCGGCATACTCGATTTTGAGACTAACGAATTATGTAGTATTGAGGGTAGATAAATTTAACACATGAGGTCTTCTGCTCAAAACGTCTGCCACCTTGTTCTCCGCCCCCGACTTATGCTTAATAAGAAATTCAAATTGTTGTAGGTAATACATCCAACGTGCATGTCTTGCATTCATTTTGCTTTGAAAATTTAAGTGCTTCAAAGAGTCGTGATCAATATAAAGAATGAATTCCTTATGGATTAAATAAGGCCGCCAGTGCTTCAATGTTTGAATTAATGCATAAAATTCCATATCATAAACTGACTAACGCCACCTCGAGTGGGAATGGGATGACCTTCTTGACTCAGAATACCTCCGATTCCCACATGCGAAGCATCACACGCCACCTCGAAAATTTTAGAGAAATCTGGCAATTTGAGTACCAGTGCTTGTCCCATTTTAGTGCTTGTCCCATTTTTTTTTTTTTTAAAATTTCATTGAAGACTTTTGTTGCTGCAGCACCCCACATAAAATTTTTTCTTTCAAGCACTCAGTGATTGAGGCCATTATGGTGCTGAAATTGCGAATAAATCATCGGTAGAAGGTGGCCAAACCGTGGAAGTTTCTGACTTCAGAGAAATTTCGAGGTGTTGGCCATGTCTGGACAGCATGCACCTTTATGGGATCAGCCTCAACTCCCCGGTTTGAGATGATAAAACCGAGGAACTTAGCACTTGTCTTCATAAACGAACACTTCTCCCTATTAATAAAGAGTCGTTCCGCCTTCAAGACCTTCAGTACCCGTTTGATGTGGCTCAAATGTTCATGCACGCTTCAACTGAAAATTAATATATCATTAAAGTATACTACAACAAATTTACCCCAAAAAAGGCTTGAGGATTTGCGTCATGACCCGCATGAATGTGCTGGGAGCGTTCGTTAATCCGAAAGGCATAACTAACCATTTGAACAACCCATATTTTGACTTGACGGCCGTCTTCCATTCATCCCCTGGTCGTATCCGAATTTGGCGATAGCCACTCCGGAGATCTAACTTTAATTTGAATTTTGAATTTGAAATTAGGATTTATTGCCCTTCCTGATTTGTCTGGGTTTCCAAATCCTCCTTCATAATTTCCTCTGGATTTGCATCAGTGAGGCGAGAACTAAGATGTGAGGATTGATTGTAGATCTCTTAAAAGTTGAGAGGCTCAACCTCTTGATGGTGCAATCATCCTATTTCATAACCTTAAAAGCAGAACCACATAAGAAGAAAGACCGAAGAGGAGATGGATACACGGTCACCACGGTCACACGAGTCTCGTAACTTAAATTTAAGTGGCCCGAATAGTCCCATCACATTCCTATGTTATAATCAAGTCATTTTCGTGTTTTCGGGTTCAACTCGAACCTGACCCAAAACTTTCTCAGGTTGAATTCTCAAACCATGACACGACCCGAAAAATATTCGGGTGAACCCTAATCTCGTTTTTTTAACTCGTGTTTGAGTAGTGTTGTCATGTCGGGTCAATTTTAGACAACCCTAATTATAACTATTAAAATGAAATGATACTTCCTTTCACAAAAAATATAGCACGAGAAGATGCAACCCTTCATGATAAACATGAATATTCACATCAATTTAAAAAATTTTTGGCAGTTACATTCATACATGGAATCATGAACGATCCTATCCATTCATTATTTTGAATTTTTTTTTATTGAAAGTAAGTGGAATTAGAGCACTTGGCTAATGATATCAAGTGGGTTTATAGAATTATGGAGAATCATCTCCACTATATTCCTTTTTACATTTACACTAAAATAAATTTGATTCAATAATAAAATCAGTATTTGTAACTTCATGTCATGTTGCAAACCTATGTATGATTTATCAAGAGTTAAATTTGGAGACAATTCAAGCTCATCTTCAGGTTTAAATTTAATTTCTTTCATTGCTTCAAGGTTAGATATGATAAAACCTTCAATTTTAAACTTAATTTAAAATGCAGATTTTAGTTCCAAATTAAGTTCAACACCAAACTGAACTTTCAATTGAGCTTCAAGTTCTAGTTTAGGTACATTTGTGGACTATATTCTGAGCTAAATTTCAAATAATGGTTCTTGTTTAGGTACAAATATTGTTTCGTGTGCAAACTCATTTGTAGTTTAGATCCTCGAGCTTAGGTTCAAATTTGGATTCTATTTTGCACTCAATTTCTAACAATGATTAATGTTCCTGTTCAAATATTGTTTCACGTGCAACCTCCATGCAGTGGCCTTCTTCATCAATAATAGGTTCTTCATCTTCAATTTTTTTTAGAATCAACGTGCTGCAATAGATTTTTCATGGATGTCTTAGTTATGGTTGGAATAATAACTTTGGATTGAAGTTGTTTGCATCAATGTTAGTTTATTGGGGAGCTCAGTGATATGTTGAGGGCTACATGAAATTTCTATTTTTTTAAGTAGTAGAAAACGATATAATATACCGAGCATAATGTTTCTATAATAGTTATTAATTCCTATTGCAATTCTATAAGCTTCATATAGAGTTTCTCTATAATTGATGGGTTGTTCGTTAACATTAAATAAAATGGACGTGAATTGGTATCTATCAATATAAGGAGAATGGTGGCGGCAAAAGGGTGAGGCTATGCAACTTTATCTAAAAAGAAAGGGGTATAACTTATAACTATAAGGGGAGTTGAGATAAAAAGTTTGGCATTCGTGAATCCTTAAAAAAAGAAGTTTGGTTATGTGTAAGTACAAGAAAAGTCTTTGAGGTTTTAATCTAAGGAGGTTTTTCAAAAATACAAAGTCAAGATAAGAATTAGCCATCATGATCTTGGCCATTTATATATACTTGGAACTTTAAAGGATATAACTATTCAATGATTGTTCGGCTTGTTTGTTCTAGAAAACCCAAAATTAGGCCCGATTATGTTTAATTTTTGCATTTTATACTAATACACACCTAGACACATGTAATAATAAAGGATAAGAAAGCTCTAGATCAACTTCTTGCTCTTTCTTTACACTTTCACATTAATACTAAATACATATTTTGACCTAGGGTACAAAAAAAAAAAAAAAACTTGTTCCATGTTCCACCACCTTATCTCGCTAGGCCTTTCAATAATCATTTTAACACTATTTTAGTGATTTTTAAATGCATTAATCTCGATATTCCATTTTTAATCTAGGTAGAGATTTCCAAACTAGCCATGTCAAAGCTACATCTCACTTGATAGAGCTCATACAAGACCATTGTTTTATTTTTGTCCATGGCTATTGTTGGCATCAATTTTCATGTCACTAGTATAGGATGCACGTTCGAGCATTATGATACTTTGATTGATGCATGTGTTGATTCTCGTAGTGCGAGACATCCATTTCACATGATCCGATGCGTGTTGAGAGGCACGTAGTCGGGATTGTTCTGTTAAATTTTGGTCGTCGCTTAGGTGAAAATCGGTCAATATTTTGTTTGTCGTACAACTTTTATTTGGCCAACAGATCTCATTTGTCACTTCGCGACGAAACCGACTCCAATTGGCTAGTCCATTGAAGAAACTATTTAGATTATCTAAGACGCCGAAACGAATTGAGCAGGCTTGTTAACACTCATTTTGTTATAATTCGCGTATGAGACATTAACACATAAACAGAGGCTTTTAAATGATAAATATAATAATAATAATAATAACCTTTATAAACGCACGCCCGCACGCCCGCACGCCCGCACGCCGCCCGACGCCCGCGTGCCCTAGCCCCATTTCGCGAAAACCGCCGGCCATAGCCTTCTCTCACGCGAAGCTCGCCTGCCGGCGCTCCTCGCCGGCGAACGTTAGACCGCCGCCTCTTCTTCTCCGTGCGGGAGCTCCTATTCGAGGGCTTTCACGCTAGCATTTTTGGTCTCTCCCACTCCTTCGCAAGGCCGGCCGGAGGACTCGATCCCGAGCCTTCTTGCAGCTTCCTCACGCCGGAGACGCCTCTCCAGCCGGTTAGCCGCCCCCCGCCTTCGCTGCCTTTCGCGTCCGACCCGAGGCCTTCGGGATCTCCCTCGCACGAGGAACCTAGGGCACGCCGGTCCTTTCCTCTTGGTGCGAGCTGCCCTCGCCGGAAACAGCGCAGCGCCTCCTCCTTTTGGGCAGACAGTTGGCCCCAAGGTCCTCCCTGGCTGTAACAGCACAAAGGCTTACTGTCTCTCTCGTGCTATCCGCGACCCTCTCCGACCTCCTTCCCTTGCGCAGGCAAACCTGCAAGCAACCCAGGTTGCTGGCAACCTCGCTTCCTCACTCTCTTACAGCCAACGACCTGAGCCGCCGCCGACGACTTTGCCAGCCTTCGTTTCATTTTGGCCGGAAGCCTCGCCGGAACTCTGTAAAGTTTCAGCATTAAGAGCCGTGAACGACTTGTCTCCTGCTTTTAGGCGGACTTCGATCAGCCAACGTGACGGTATAACCTCCTTAAACCTTTTGCGTTTTTCTTTCCCAGCCAGCCCTAGTTTAGTTTAGGATAGACGTTGTGGGTCCGGTCGCCCACGCGGGGTGAGTTGGTTGGCCGACACCGGTCGGCCACTCCCTTGGGTCGACCCTTAATTTTCTAGAGGAAACCCTAAGTTAAGAATCCAGTTCGTGGCCAAATCTTATGTGGAGCCGAGCGATCTCCCTTCGTGAACCCTACGTGAACACTAGACCTAAATCTAAGGGGGTTGGAATCCCAATTTTGTTTTGTTTTGACCTTCCCCAACCTCTATTGGAGGGGTTGGGATGTTTGAATTTTGCAAAGCGAGAAAAGATTTATAACTAGCTTAACCTGCAAAATCATAAAGAGCTGTGAAAAGGAAAAACTTTGTAGCTAGCCAATTCTACAACATCGTGAAGTTTTTTTTTTGGAGATTCCGAGGTGAAACTCCCCACACACTTCGTCAAAGCAGGAGGCGGCTATGCCACACATCCTAGTGTTAAACCTTAAACGCCTATGTGAGATCATTAACATGATTATGACTTGTTATTAAGTATGATCGTTTGCTTTGAATTGTGTCTGTGTGTCTTGCTTGAAGCATGTTACATTTGCACGTCGCCTCGACCGACCACTTTGATCCAAACGGTTGCCCCGACCCGGTCGGAAGACCACTTGGGTCTGACCAGCCTCCTCGACCTGATCGACATCACTTATGCCTCAATCGGCCCCCCCGCACAGTCAACATCACTCTTACTTCGACAGCCTCCCCTGGCCTGATCCTCATCATTTTTGCCTCGACCGACCGCCCTGGCCCGGCCAACATCACTTCTGTCTTGATCCATCACTCCGGTTATGTCAGCATTACTTCTACCTCGATCGAGCCGCCCCTGTCTGGTAGGCATCATTTTTGCTTCGACCGACTGCCCCGACTCGGTTGACATCACTTATGCCTCGACCGGCCGCCCCGACTCAGTTGACATCACTTATGCCTCGTCCGGTCGCCTTGGTCCGGTCGACATCATTTTTTGTCTTGACCGGTCACCCCGACCCTGTTGACTCCACATTTATCTCGATCGGCCGCCCCAACCCTTTCGACATCACTTTTGCCTCGATCGTCCATCCGTCTCAGTCGGTATCACTTTCTGAATAGACCAGCCTCCCCGGCTCGGTTGGCATCATTTTTGCCCCGATCGACCGTCCAGAAACGGTCGACCGATCATTTGCATAGAGTATGTTTTGCATATGCATTAGTGTCTGATTCCTTGCTTGCATGATGCACTATACCCTAGATGTGATTTTCATTTGCATGCTTGTTTGGTTGTTCATGGGTAAGGTGTAATTCTTCCACGTGACGCTCCACTGATCACAATACCTCTTGTGTTATATATCTTGCATGACATTTTGTATGGTCATTATCGCATGATTTAGTTGCATTTTCAGTGTCATTCATACACTTGCTCCATCGGTATGATTCCCCTCAGTGAGGATCATCACCCATTTTTGGTTATTGACTCCACAACACGTCCATATTTTAGGTCTTTGCTTCCACAACACACTCACTTCTTCGGGTCACTGCTTCCACTACACACTTTTCTTTCGGATCTCTGGCTTCACGACCCGCCCCCTTTTTTGGGTCACTACCTCCACGACACATCCATCTTTAGGGCATCTGTCTCTACAACACGCCCACATTTTCGTGTCATTGTCTCTATGACACACTCATCTGTATGACCGATGACTTCTTGGCATGCCCAACCTTTCTATTCACTGCCTTCACAAAACACTCATTCGTCGGGTTGCCGCTTCTACGATACTCTGACCCCTCCTCGGGCCACTGCCTCCACGACACACCCCTCATCGGGTCGCAGCCTCCATGGCACGCCCACCCTTGCGGGCCGCTGCCTCCACTACATGCATCCTTGCGGGCCGCTGCCTCCACTACACTCCATCCTTGTAGGCTGCTACCCCATAACACACCCACCATTGCGGGTCCTTGCTTCCACGACACACCAATCTTTCGGGTTGTTGACCCTACAACACTCCCATCCCTGCGGGCAACTGCCTCAACGACACGATCACCATTTTCAGGCCGCTGCCTCCATGACACGATCACCCTTTCAGACCACTGCCTCTATGCCATACTCATTGGTCGGGTCGTTGCCTCTACAACACTCCTATTCTTGCGAACCGCTGTCTCCTAGGCACGCCCATCCTTGTGGGTTGCTGCCTTCACGACATACCCATCCCCTCGGGTCAATGTCTGCATAACACACCCATTTGTCGGGCAGCTATCTTCACGGCACGCCCATCCTTACGGGCCGCTGCCCCCACGACACAGTTCCCTGGAGAATAACGCCCTAATACACTTTCATGCATATTAAGCACACAAGCACAACAAGAGCTTAAAGCAAGAAAGATGTATGGCTAGGGCAATCAAACCAACATAGAGCAATAACCAGACATCAAATGACTACCTAGCCTCCTAGACATAACCTAGCAGACCATCTAACGAAAAGAATCATAACCAACATTTAAGTGCATGGGGATAAGTCTCCGGTTATAGTGACTTAGCGGGAGTTTTGAAAGCATCGGAGCATCCTTCTGCGAGATAACCATCCTTTGATAGTCTTGTGCTAGGTCACTACTAATGTACGCAAAATTCACCAGATAAAGAGTATTTTTGAGCAACCCCCAAGATGTAATTAATTAAGTGAGATACGTCCCATTGGGAGTACTTTAGGCACCAGATCAGACAAACATACTTGAATCTTTGGTTGTGGGTAGTCTATGCCGGTATTCTTTCGCGGATACTGGTCCAAGGTGTTTCTGTCTGATTTTGTTTTGGCGGACATACTTGACCTATCATTGTGGGGTTTATCATGCATAAGCTCTCCACAATCTTTCTCTTAGTCAATTTTGTCGTATATCCGTCTTTTTTGCTTCCTCCTTTTTCTGGTCATTCACATGATCCAGAAGAAAGATTTAGTCGGTAAAGGAAAGTATACGACGATAGATAAACTGATGAATCCTTTAAAAAATAAAAACAAAACAAAAAGAACGAAAACACCTATTACAACCTAAGTTTTTCTTCTTCAGTCGTTTTCTTTAGACGAAGAGTAATTAAGGGATAGTTAGGCTGTTTAAGTAATATCCAAGCGATTCTACTACTGATTAAGATATAGTTGGCAAAGGAGTGTAGGAGGCACTAGAATAACTTATATTAAGGTTTTTGAGTAGATTTGAGAGTTTTTGACTAGGATTAGGATTTTATTAGCAAAGGGGAATTCAATGACTTCTCCATAGTGCAGCTTCTTCATTGCGGTCCCCATAATAGACAAAAATTGTTTTATAGAAAATTTTCCCTAATGAGCGCTTTGGTCTAACCTATCTCAAGGTGGTATAAAGTAGGTTTATTGGAAGGTGTCATGATCTAACCGAAGCTTTATATGATGCAGGGTTCGCAAGGGTTAAGGGTTCTTAGTACAACTAAAATGATGCAATGAACATGATTTTCACAAAAGAAATTTAAATTCAAATAGCAACAATCAATTCTATAATTTGATTTCTTTTTTTTTCTGCATATCAGAATTTATGTGAATTTGAATCAAAATAAAAAAGCAGCAATCAATTAAAGCTGAATAAAACAATAAGAAATTTTGACCGAAAAAATTGTCTTTCAATAAGCTCAATCTAGAACTTCTTGATTGCCCATCAACCATCAATAAGTAGGCCTTCGAGGTTCTGGTAGCTTCTTGTATGATTTGTTTAGTCCACGAGCATTAGTGGGCCTTCCTAAATATGCTTATATGGTAGTCCCCAACTTCCTCGTTCGAGTGCATTGCGAAATATAATGTCCTAAGGTGAAGGCAAACAATCTTGGAGCTTTGCTGGTAATCACCATTGGGCTAGACACTCGAATAAACTGATGGTGATTTCTTGGACAACACAACAACGCTGTTCCTTGTGTGTATGTTTTAATCACTTTCAGTCATTATTGTTGTATTTTTTCTCATGGGGAAGTCTGTATATTTTATTTCATTGTCAATTTAAATATTTAAGGTGTCATTATTCAAAGACTATCAAAAGTTTGGTTTATAATATTTGTTTCCCATGGGACATATAGCGATCCTTGTGAAAAGGAGTTTGAGATATTGTGAACTTCCCTTTAATCTGGCAGGCAAAGGTGCTAATTCTTTGTATGGCCTCTTCATTCCAGCTTTTCTTTCTATGCATCTAGCCATCCACTAAAATATTTCTTTTCATTCCTTTTTTTTTCTTTGTAGGCATATAGCTATCTACTATTTTTTGTGCAAAGTTTTGTTTTTATTATTATTTTTTGAAGTTTTTTTTCTGTGTTAAATCTTCTTTGATCCCCAGTTTTATATTGCTGATCCCTTCTGAGGGTTATTGACATTATGTCATTGCGCTTGTTTTTTGTTTTATATTTTAGTCCAACATATTCTTCAATTTTTTCTTTGTTAGTTACGCCGGGCACATCTGTTTTTTTATTTACAATAACTGCACAAATTTTCTTATGCTATTTGGCAGGAACTGACACCTACCTGTTGATTTTCTTGATTAGCCACTTGTTATGTCAGCGAGGCGTAATATTCGATACTCTCCCCTTACCGGAGAAGAGACTGATGATGATAATGGAATTGGAGGGCGAGAAGATCCTCGATTTAGCTACAATCCTAGGGCATTTGACAGAATTCCTTGGAAGTCTATTGCCCTGGCACTTTTTCTTCTTGCTTTAGGTTCGGTTCTTCTCTCGCTCTCATTCTTCATGTTTGCAGGCCACATGGAGGGCGATAACTCTCAAGCTTTTGGTCTTCTTGCACTCGGCATACTTTCTTTCCTACCTGGTATTTTTCAAAATCCTTCGATTTTAATTATCTAATCTGTACAGCAGTAAAAGACTTTGGAGCTCTATAAATTAAAGAGAAATTTACATACATATCACACATTTTTTTAGATGTATTTGCATATCTAAACCTAAAGTTTGATATTTATGTATATAATATTTTTGTGTCATAATCACATAAAAATCTTTACATGAAAATGTGTATTTCACTTTAAGAATGCCACTAATAGTGATATTTCTGATGTAATGTTAAAGAATTTTATTGTTATGTGAAGAGTAGAAGCCCAAAATTGCCCCCTTACTATTATCAAGTGTTCAGTTTAGTTCAAATAGTTTTAGAATACTTCAAATTAGTCTCAGACTATTAAAAATTGCTTCAAATTAATCCTAAATCGTCTCTTGATGCATGCCAATCTGTTTGAGTGCGAGCAATCGCTACGGTCTGACATATTTTAAGTATGTATGAAATTGAAAATGAGGAGCAATGAATTACAAAGTTTATATTTCTAAATCATGGTATTAAATAAACAACCTTTGAACTATCCACAAATCTTTTCACATCTAAAAAATACAAAAAGAAAGAAGATATGATTGAATAAATATTGGACATAAATAATACTATATTTTTCTTAGTTGTAAATTTATCATGATGTTCTTTAAAAGAGTAAGCATCTTGAGTTGCCATCGAAGGTGAAATTGAATCAAGAAGTCATACGAGTGGACTGGGTAAGGTTTATGGTTTCTTAATAATGCTTTAGATTCCAGAACCGGGTCAGGCGAAGTCCAGGGCTTTAATTAGCTAACATTTTGAACAGACATATTTACTCTTCAATTTATACAGACCATCGTTAAATTTAACGGAAAATATGATTTAGGATTAATTTGGAACAACTTTTAATAGTTGGGACTAAATTGAAGCATTTAAAAACTCTGCGACTAAATTTGACACTCCTTAATAGTCAAGGGACTATTTTGGACTTTTACTCGTTTATGTAAATTTTGAAGTTTTGGTGTTAGATATGTACATATGTAAGAATTGTGTGGTAGGTATTTAAAACCACCCCCTATATTCGAAAGAGAGTGTTTTACTGAAGGAAAGGATCTTTTAAGGTATAATTCTAAAATGAGAAAAATATAAGAACGATTTAATAAATAGCTGTCACTTCGATGTGGATGCTTTAAGAAAAAGTAGATTTTTTACGGATGTTGGAAGCAATAAATGCATCTTATGACAGATGCTATTATTGTTTGAAGTTGACGTTTTTATTATTTGGGACATTTACACACATACCACTCAATTCCCATCTGTTTACATATCTAACGCCTAAGCATTGCTTTTTTACATTTATACCACCCAAATCTTTCATATCAAATAAAAAAAACCTCTATTTTAACTTTTAAAATGTAAAATATACATTTTCATGCGTGGGTAAGGTGCATATATTTAAAAATTGAAGTTTAGGTGTTAGATATGTTAACACATAAGAAATGAGTGGTATGTATTTAAATCTTCCTTATTATTTCTATTTCAACTCGGTCATCATCCTCCAAATATGCTTGCAAGCGGGTAGATTTTGATAATTTGAAAGGAATAAAAATGAAACTGTCTGCATGACTAGAATTTTTGCAGAAGAAATTGTAAAGAATAGAATTAATAAACATTTAATAGGAAGAACACTAAGCTTTTCTGTTTCCATTTTATTGGTTTCTATTTTTACATTTATTACTGGAGTCCAAAGGGAGTGACTGTAGAATATATTATTTGCTTAAATCATTGTTCTAATGGACTGATAAGGTATTTTAAATTTTCAGTCTTGCTCAAGCCTCTTCAACTCTATAGCTTGGTTTGACTCGTTTAATAGTGCTTGAGCTTATGTATACCAAGATTGAGCTCGATCCTAATTCTTTTGCATGCTTATCTTCTCTATAAATTAAGAATAAGAAAACGAAATCTGAGAGGGGAGGGGAGGATTTGTTAGGTTTTGTTTAGGGATAATTACATACAGGCCACCCGAAACATTGATATTTACAAATTAACCACCCATGTGATTTTTTTGAACTAGCCGCAATCAAATTATTGAGAATTTGATAAAAATGAAAAATATAGTTTGAGGTTTTACTATGAATTTTGATATTTGAGTGAGAATTTGAAAAATGGGTGAAATAGAGTGGTAGATTGATTTGAAAAATGGATGAAAGAGTGAAAGAGGGTGGTTGGTTTGTAAATTGCAAGTTTTGTGTGGTCGGTATGCAATTGCCCGTTTTTTATGATTTTGCTTTTATTATTATTTTTTTTTAATTTTATAAGGAATTAAGGATTTTATAGAAGAAATGATGAATAAATTATGTAAAACTTGCATTTGGGCTTTTGAATCTGATGTTGAAATGTAATTTTTATGGATGTGAAAATGATAATTATTAATCAAAATTATTGGATGATACTTAGGTATGATAGGTTGAACATGTAAAATCTATAATACAGTAAGCGGGACATTATCGGGGACATAACCTATCATTAGGTGGTTTAAGTGGCTAAAAGGCTTCATTAGTCTGACTTGATAATCATTTTTTAGTCACGGTGGCTTGAAAATCTTAGTTGGTAAGCCTACAACATATCAATTTTTACTATGCACGATTTTGGCCATTTGTCATGATTTGTTTTGTAATTGTGACAAATGAAAATTTGCTTGATCTTTCATGATTCAAGTTTCTTGTTATTTTTGTCAAATGTAAGTGATTGTTGTATTATTTTTTGGGTGGGGCATTTCCATGCATACCATTTGATTCCTATATGTTTACATATCTAGCACATAAATTTTACTTTTTATGTTTATACCACATAAATTTTTCATTTCACATCAAAAATACTACTATTTAAGTTAAAAAAAGGTGAAATACATCTTTTCATGCATAGGAATGGTGGCTTATTTGTACAAAAATTGAAGTTTAGGTGTTAGATGTGTAAATACATGGGAATTGAGTGATATGTTTGTAGATCTTCGTTTTTTGGTTTGACTTTCACCTATTTTGAATTTACACCTTCAGAGTGTGATTTTTTTATTATGAATTGGACTTGGATTTGTAAATCCTAATTTCTTATTTTCATTGCATCATCATAGTTGCATAAAGAACCATATATTCCTAAACTCCTGGCCCCTGGGTGCCTTCTGTTCTTTTTTTCTTATATTGTTCATCCTAATCTTTAAGGTTTTGGTTGCAAGTAATGCGAGTTTAAAGTAAATGGTTTGTTTATATTTTTATTTTATTTAGTTATTTTGGTGCTTGATGTTAAGTAAAGCAATTGAAGTTATAATTCTAATGACTTTGAATTACATTGGCGTATTTGTGTTTTCACATACATACCACCCAATTCTTATGTATTTACATATGTTACACCTAAACTTCATTTTTTACAATTATAGCTCCCAAATCTTTCATATCATGTTAAAAGTACCAACCATTTAACTTTTAAAAATTGAAAGACACCTTTTCAAGCATATTTAAGGTAACACACACACACACACACACACACACACACACACACACACACACACACACACACACACACACACACACACACACCGCTCCACCAGCCACGATCTGTTGGTAGAGTAGACTCTTTGAAGATCGTAAGTTTCTTCTGGTCAAGGGTTCAAATCTCCCTCTGGCTAGTTTGCTGGTAGTGGGGGCATTCTTCAAATAGTTAGGCACTTGAGGGTAGCTGTGGGCTCATATAATACCCTTCGGCCATATATGTGTGTGCGCGTGCGCGTGCGCGTGCGTGTGCGTGTGCATGTGTGTGTGTGTGTGAAAATTAAAGTTTAGGTGTTAGATATGTAAAAAGATGATAAGCATTGAGTGATATGTTATATAAATCTTCCAAAAAAAAAAAAAGGTTTGATTGCATTGTATTTTCTTTACATGCAACCATACAGCTCCAAGAACTTAGAACATTTATTTACATCCCCTTTTATTTTTCTTTCTTAAAATACATGCATTTTGAATGTGCAACCCAACAACAGCCCTAAATATTGATCTTAAATTTAGGAAAAGAAATACATCTTTGCTTTCTCCTCCATACTTCATGATTAGGGTTTACAAAATGCATGTCCTTAATCATGGTATAATTATTATTTATCATCATGATTAACTAGAAATCTTGATATAATTATGGTGCAGGGTTTTATGAGACTAGAGTGGCATATTACGCTTGGAGAGGTGCCCCAGGTTACAGATTCTCATCCATACCCTCTTACTGATTTTTCTATGTGGTTCGTTGATCTGTATGCTAGTTCCATATACTCTTTGGTTTGTTGAATTGTATTCAGGGCAATGTATTTGTATTTATATTGCTTCAAATCTTTTAAGTTCGATTTTTGTTTTGTAAGCATTTGCAATATACAATTTTTATTCTAAGTATTTTGCAATAAATTGTCTTCCATCAAGCACCCTGCTATGTCCTGTTTGTAGGGACCTGGATGGGCCCATGGTGCAGTTATCTTATCACAGCCGTCCATTTCGACGTGATATGATTCGTATTATATGTCAATTTCTTTCTATGGTAAGTTTTACATTGTCGGCATTGCATTTTGTTATTGTGGCATTTACATAAATACCACCCGATTCCTATGTGTTTCACATATGTAACAACTAAACTTTTTTTTTTTTATATGTATATCACGTAAAAGAATACCAATATTTCGACTTCTAAGTTTAAAATACACAATTTCATCTATAGACAATGCAGCAAATATATGTTAGTTTAGATGTTAAATATGTAAATACTTGGTATGCATGTAAATAATCCTATGTTACTCTGCATTATGCGACCAATAACGAAATGGTTTGACGTCAGTCTATATTTTAAATAGAATACAATTTCAATTCAAAAATAGATTAAATAGTTTATAAACTATGAAGTTCATGTTCCATTCCTTGTTTAGCGAATGATTTTTTTTATAGAATTTTCATTTTATTTATAACTAATGTGCTACAGGTTCAATAACATTTTGTTTATGATTGTTATGTGCCAGAAGATTTGCGATAGGAGAGAAATAATTTAACGTCTTGAGATTGTACGAAAATCTAACACATTGACAGATGATTGAAAAGTAATAGAAGACGGCATCGAAATTTTTTACTTGGAAAAAACTTAGAAAGGTAAAGAATCACGAGACCTTGCCCTCACAAAGTATTTCACTATAAATGTGTAATTATAAAAATACGTACTTGTCACACAATTGAGAAGGAAGAGTTACAATGTTGCACCAAATACAATGTGTCCGTGCATAATTTACTAAACACTTCAAAAGTCTATAGAAAGCCGTTGTATTTTGAGCACAACGTTATTCGCTTCACCATTTACAAGATACTTTGTTGCACTGTATTTAGAATACTTCATTGCACCTTATTCTGGGATACATCATTATACACACAGTTTGCAGACGTTGGCGAGCAAGGGGTTGTCAGCAATGGTTGATGGCTGTCGACGGGCGGTGATCAATGGTGGTTGGAAGTATTTGTTGCTAGATGTTATCGCCGATTTTCAATACGATGTTATTCACTTCTCCGTTTACAAGATACTTCGTTGCACTGTATTTAGGATGCTTCGTTGCACCTTTTGTATGATACTTCATTGCATCATATTCAGTGATACATCATTACACAACAAAGTTCGTGACGACGTGCAGTGGTTGTCGGCAAATGGTGGTCGATGGTGGTTGGCGACTACAGAACCCGAAAGTTATTGTCGGGTATTCAATCTAGAACAATACTGGAATTTGACTTTTTTTCTTCACTTCTCTTCTCTCAAGTGAAGTTAGAGATAGAGTTTTTATAGGTTTTAGGAGACGGGCATTTTGGTCATTTGATGAATAACTCTCATACACACCCAATCGAACGACTCATATTGATCCCTTTTTTATCATATGAGATTTTATCATGATTTGAGGGTTTTAATGATATCATAATCAAGTGATTTTTGGACTTGTTGGATTCCTCTAGTCGATACAGTCGATTGGACTATTTGCATCAAATGTTGAGTTCATATCAAACTCCAGATAACTACTCAAAGCCTCCAAATATGATTCAATGATTTGATCCATATTTGATTGTTCTTGGATTTGACTAATTTTGATATCATTGAGTTCATCTTGTCTAGACATTACAACCAGTTTGAATATAAATTTATTGAAATCGGAACTCTGGATGATTTTCAATGTCGATCTGAATGTCTTATTGCTCGATTAATTATGTCAAAATTTAAATCTACTAGTTTCTATTTCAAGAGTGATATGTTAAAATGAATCAATTTGTTATTTTAAATTTAAAACCTAAGTATCTTCATTCTCATTTTAGATTGTTGATGGTTTCATTATCAAGTTAGAAAATTTGTATATATTAAGATGAATGTTTATTTCTTGATTTTTTGAAAGATAAAAATAAGAAAGATTTATCTGCATACCACTCATTCCTATGTATTTACATATCCAACAACTAAATTCCAATTTTTACATATATAGTACCTTATGAATAAAAATGTCTTTTTCATGTTTTAAATGTTAAAATGGTGGTGTTTTTATATGATATTCAAGGTTTAGGTCGTATAATGTAAAAACTAAAATTTAGGTGCGAGATATGTACATATAGGAACCGGGTGGTATATATGTATAAATACAAATTTCAATTGATTATTTGTTTATATACAATAATGATAATTATTACAAGTTTTATGTCTTGTATGTCAATAGGGCTTTATTTACACGACTCATAAAGTTATATTTATTGGTTCTACTTTAATTGCAAAAGTTTCATTGCGAAAAATAACCCATAAATGGCCTGCACGAATTTCCAAGTAGTATGACGATCCATATTAAATGCTAATGATCTTGAAGTTGACCGCCTAGGAGAGCTCATAGCTAATTGGTCATCCAAAAGTCGGTTGACTGAAGACCTATCTTGGTCGGCCGAAAGGCAAATAATCCTATGAACATCATTACGCTCTCTAATCATTCCTCTCAGAGCACACCAAAAGATAGGCCGACAGGCCTAGAGCCAACCGGTCACTATACTTAGAACCGACAGACCTATAGTCGACTGGTCACTGAACATAGAACCGACTGACAAAGTTCGCCCAATATTCAGGTAAAATAGTCGACCGATTCTAGTTTAGTCTATTGACCCAAGGATCCTGGGTTGAGGGATCCAAAAATAATAAAAGACAATAATATCATGTAAACCCCTCATAAAAGTGTATCCCATACTTTATAGGAGAGCTTTCTCCCTCTCTTTTTGTAATTTTTATTTAAATATATAAAGTAGGTTACTACCTGTAAATATCACAGTTTGCCCTCAGGAGGTAAGTCTGTGTGTTATTTTTATATTCTATGAATTAAGACATTGGAGAGCTCAGGCTAGTGTAGGGCTATGAATTTAGCTTGAATATTATTAATCTCTTGAAAATTGATTTGAATTTTTTCTCTGATCTGTTAAATATATGAAGCATGTAACTGAACTGCCTCACATATCGCGTTTCACCCACCTCTCTCCCACCCACCTCTCTCATTTTATTTAAATAGTCTCTTTTGGTGTGTCATAAATCATCAAGCCAAGCCTTTTTAACCCCTCTCAAGCAATCCCCTAATCCTTCCACTTGGTTAGGCTTAAGAAAAAAAAAAAAAGAAAAGCTGCTTGCCTTTCTTGCTTTCCTCGGTTTTCTGGCAGGAAAGAGACTCTTTTTCTTTTGTTTTTCACCTCTTCACCTGGCTAAGTAAGGTGAAGAGAGAAAAAGTAAAAAAATTTTCTGAAACATCGAGACGATCGACGAGTGTATTTTTCGAAGAAATAAAATCTTTTGCAACTCTGTGGATGTAGGCAATTCGTAGAACCACGTAAATCTTTGTGTTATGTTCTGATTTGCAAATTTTTTTTAGTCCGTTTTTTTCGTTTTCTCGCACTGTTTTTCACAACAATTGGTATCAGAGTCCCGGCTTGGATCTGAGGAAAAACGATGACCTGAAACAAAGTGAAGGTTTCAGGGATCGAGAAGTTTGACGACACTGTTTTCATTCGTTTTTCTCTCTTTTATTTTAGAAGGAGTCGCCAGCTTGTCGATCGTTGTATACTTCCCTTATTCGAATAAATCTCCCTCCCGAATCAGATCAGTGATTCGAAGAGGAGAGAATCCAAATAAGAAGGGACACAACAAAGCGACAACTAAGAGAAAACACAAAACGTGAAGAGCCTACGTGCGGTAAACATCGCAAGGATAGATTAAGAGTGTTCTCCCAAACATGATCGGGTGAAAACACTTTAAACTAATATCCGTGAAAGAATACCTACATAAACTACCCATAACCAGAGAGTCAGGTGTAGCTGTCTGTTCTGGGGTCAAGAGCACTCCCAAGGGGACGTATCTCACTTGGTTAATTACATCTTAGGGGGGTACCCAAGAATACTCTCGATAAAAGGAGTTTCACTTGGATTATCATGAACCTGTGGTATAGGCAATCAAAGGAAGGTTATTCCTCGTGGGAACAGTCCCGACACTTCAAAGCTCGTGATAAGTCATCAAGCAGAAAGTGAGTCTCTCATATCTTGAATGGGTAGCGACTCATTGACACGTGTGGCCTACAAAATAACATAAATCATCTTGACAGGATATCCCAACACGTCAAAGCACGTTCGGGCCAAAGAGCTGAGGACAAATCGTCGTATCCCAAATGGGTGGTAGCTCATCGGCATCAGACTATCAAGGTGATATCAACGAAGTCAAGGAGCGACATGGCTCAAAGAGGCTCAACAAGAGGAAGGTAGAGTGATCCTAAAAGGTAGAGGTAACTGAGTCGGGGTACTACAGACCCGTCATACACAACTACTAGGACCATAAGTCTAACTGATCGTGAAAGTAGTCGACCTAACACGTCCTAAGATCGCCGATCAACAATCCTTGAATTGCATCGTCCACAAGAACCTCAGTAGCCCTAAGGTCAAAGGAAATAAACTCTATCATATTACTAAAAGCTGGAGCTCCAAGAGGTGGGATTTATACCTGCTGAAGTGGCAAAAATGCCTCCGGAAGGAAAAGAAAGTGGAGGTTCGGCTACAAAGCTGGATTCACTCCAAACAAAAGGACTTATACTCTGGGACGGGGAGCCTTCTAACACCATATGCACACTATACAACTACCTATAAAGAGGTATGCTGGGTCAGTTAGGTTAAAGAAGCACGGGGGCTTTTCTTCGGGATATGCAAATATGATGTAGTCATCTAGAGTGGTCCTTAAGTATTGTGGAGGCCCTATTAATATATGCAAGAAAGTAAATGTTGCAATTTTTAAATACTGAATATTTTAATCCTAAATTTTAATTATCTTGTTTTAATTATCTTGACCTAAATTTTAATTATCTTGAATATTTTATTTAGAATTTTGTAGAAAAAATTAGGA